GTTTGTTTGTTTGTTTTGGTTTTGTTTTTTTTTGTTGTTTGGTTTGGTTTTTTTCAATGCCTGTTTTTCATTTCCCACTCTACAAAATGACTAGTGTTAAAGGATCTTGATTCTGATTTCCCAACAACTCACATTATGGAAACTGAACTCCTATGTGCTGGATAAACACAAGGGGTACCAGATAGCATAGTCACTTGCACCCTTCCCTCCATAATAATTACATGGTTGTGTGCAGCATTCTGAAGGTACGTAAGGTCAGAAACTATGTTCTTTGCCTAAGGCAGAGTTCCAGAAAAAGGGCTGTAAACAGTATCAGCAGTATTCTGCTGTTGCGAAAAATCACGTTTAATTTATCTAAATATTCTATTACTTATGTGATCTTTAAAGTTCGCCACTCTTTACAGTAGTTATTTCAGAGTAATTAATAAAACATTAATTATCACATACTTACAAGGGATTATTAAGAACAGAGAAATGTATTAAAAGAAAAATGTTTCTTCCATTACAGTACTATCATTACAAATGTTTGACACTGCTAAATCAGTTCCCTGAGACTTGTCAATTCACTTCCACAAAAAACTGCAGCAGTATATTATGCAGTTCATTCATCCATATCTACCCAGAAGATTACATCTAGTCCTGTAAATTTAGACCCATTAGATGAAGACCTAGCCACTGTAATCCATACATATGTAATATTCACCCTGGACTATTATAGTTCTCTCTAGGAAGGAACTTTATGCATTGTAGAAGTTCAAGGTTGGCCAGTGTAGATTGCATCACCTAATACACAGTTTATTATAGATGCTGCTGAATGACTGATTTCATGCAGTCCTAGTGTGAGGGAGCAGAAGCCAGTGTGTCACACTGTCTGACCTGCATCTCACAAGCCCTACATGCCACCTAGTCAACCCTATGCTGAACAAAATTATTTGTTTTTAGCTACAACAACCTCTCAGAAATCATAAGATCTTGATTTGATTTGATTTGATTGATTTGAAGGATATAATTCTTATTCTCAAAATCCTGCACAGAATTTAATTCTGTTCTTATGTTACAGTTCAAGGCAAAATTCCAGCAAGGGTATGTTCTGGGCTGAGGACAAAGCTGTCACAGGCAATCGCAGAACTTGCTATTGAAATAGCAAACACTTTTGTCAAAGCTAGAAGTAAAATCCATCCCTCGACTCGAGTTTCTTAGGAAAGTATGCTAAAGTATTCATGCTTTTCAACAGGTGAAAAATCCCAAACCCAAACAGCAACAAAAAACGCAGTTGCACCATTGCTTCAAATCTGCTTCTTGATAATAAGTGTAGAAAAGGAAAATTAAGTCGAGGAAACACCAGAGTATTACCGTGCTGTGGTTTGTGTAAGTGTGCACAGAGGGACTTTCAGATTAAGTCGAAAAGCAGCTTCTGGAAATGACAGACTGGCAGTGCTGATTTAATCCCTTGGAATAATTTCCTTATCTGCAATAGAAGATACACATTTTAACAGTAATTCTAAACTTAACATTCAATGCAAACTATAATAATAAGCAAGACTCCTCGCAAAACATTCAACCACAGATAATTTTCAAAGAGTTTGCACTACTGCCAAGAAGTTAGCTAGTGATATCTCTACTTGGGCTCATTGTATAAATTTGGCTCTCATAAAGTATTGCCCAAACAGATGGGCCAATTTTCAAAGTTAAAAATGGGCTTTTGAAATGCTCAAGGAGCAAGGATGCACAGCTCATTGGATCAGGACCATAGTATGTGTTCAACATATTGTAAATACATTGCGATAACAAATGTACATAAATTATAAATTCAGGCTTGTATCTCGAGGCATGCTTTTTTTCACTGGACAAATATATATATATATATTTTTTTTTCCTTAAGGTGATCCTCTGTATCATTACATTTGGTGTAATTTATTTTGGGATGCTTGTAGAGAACACATTGTATTGGGAGACCAGATTTAGGCCTGGTTATAGCCCTGCAGTGGAAAAACTAGCTACTTCTGTGGTTTCAATCTAGTAGTTCAGTAGAGATAATTAATTTTTCTGCTTCTATGGCTATGACAGAAGATGGTGCAAAGGTATGATATTAGTTTTCCTAGTGTCACCATCCCTAAGAAATTATAGGGGAGCTTTTTATGGTGAAGCCATTATACACATAAAATCACACTGAAAATATCTTGATAAAAGCAAAGGGGGAAAGTGTGGAAGGGTGAAGTAAAAAAATGCAAAATAATTTGCAGTTTTCAGAGATAATCACAGATAGTTTGGATTTTTTAAACCTTCACTTTGTCAGTAATAACTGTGAAAGTTTACTCTAATTAAAAACATAATTTTGTCACATTAATCAAGTGTCATGGTTCTAAATAGCACACAGACTTTTGAGAACTAGAGAGCTTGATTTTGTGGAAGTGGGGTGCATACTGAATAGCTTGAATCCATTGGGGTTTTTCTCAATATGGATTTTTAATTTTACTTGATAAACACCTGGACCTGACTAGGGCTAACAAAGATTAAATTAAAAGATAAAACAACACTACTGACTTGAGGACTGAAGAATGCCCAGAAATTTAGTTTTAGGGAGATGTTGTCTTAGAACAAGGACCACTGTGCTGCAGAAGCATAGCAAGTATCACAAAACCAGACTAGGCAGCTTAGGTGTATTTATGATGAAAAGGAAGCCAAGTCACACAGCTCAACAAATATTTTGGTGTCAGCATTTAGGAGAAATATGATAGTCTTTTAATATTAACACTATTAATTGTCCAGAGATTACTGGGTTTGCACTGGCTCAAAGAGAGTTAAGAAAGGTTACTCTTGAATAGAGACTAGGTCAAACACTCTCAGATATCTTTAACCAAGCTCAGGCAATCTTTTTTATCCTTACAGGTGTTTGCAAGGAGAGACAGTCAGGAGGAACTTCAAATTCTCACCCATGAAATGTTTCCAATGCCACACTAGAACAATGATGTAGGTCTTTCAATGCCTCAGTTTTCCAATGACTGTATTTTTCTCATACAATGCTATTCCCACAGAAAGCACTGAAAGCAGGGAACATCAGGACAGACTATGAGAAATAGAAAAAAGATAATTTTTTAAGTCCATTTGTTTCTTAAATTCAAGTGAAATAGTAATAGCATTACATTTTTTATTGATCTTTCCTACAAGTGGAATTTTTGCTGTCATGACTCAGAATCATAGCAAAGTTATTTTGAAACACAGAAGTATTTAATTTACTTGCTAATATTCCTTCTAATTGTGTTTTCTATTTGCTTGCCATTTTAAAACAATTACATGACTAAGCCAAAGACACAAAAACTGCCATGTATGTCAGGTTGCAACTATGTAACAAGTTGCACAGACTGGGTGAAAAGTCAAAACATAATTTTTTTTCCTGGCTGAACTTTTAAAATGCTAATTGTATCAGCATACAATTGCCACCCGAAGGTTTTTATCTTTGCCTGACCTTAGTTTTCTACATAGAGCACATACACTGGCTGTCCTTCCTTCTATTCTTTTGAAGACAGTGAGGTTTAACATGCCACATATATGCCAATGAATCAATTAGGCAAAAAACAGTCATCTGGTCAGTGCAGCTGACACTGTAAATTCCAGATATGTTTGCTAGTCTCTGTATGTAAGAACTGTTAACTCAGACTTGAACTTCTGCTGTCAGCATAACAGAGAATGACCTGTTCAGAGGACAAGGAATCCTTCGTTTCATTGAAAATAAATGTCCTGCAAAATCATCTGTGACTCAGCCAAAATGAAAACTGTGAGTATTGCTTCAACGTCAGAAAAATCTTTCTCCAGAGTTGCAATTTTGGCTTGTGTGCAATGGTTCCTTCGGCAGGTTCAGGAAAAGAACAAAGCACATACATCCCAAAACATTCTGTATTTTCACCAGTCTGACATCTCAGTTACTGCCCCTGAGCACGCCAAGTACAGTCAGAAGGTTTTTACATACAGCTGTTTTTACCAGGGGATGGGCTTTAATTATTTGACTTTCTCTTGAATTGACCAACACAACTTCACCCACTCTGCTTGGTGCTGTCAAACTGTTCTTCATGCTGTGAGGGGCTATTTTTATTTTGCAATAGGGTGAACGCTGATAAGGATGGCCGTGGAATTGCCACACAGGATTTTGTGTACACAAAGCAGGGCAGGAGCTGGCTTCCTCGGCGGCCCAGGCTGCTGTGGAGGAGCCCAAGGCATGAGGAAAAACCTTTCCACTTTCTGCTCTGGCCAGAGCTGTGGCTGAACGCGAGCCCAGCCTCCCCACCAGCTGCTTGTCTGCCACAACGGTAACGGGTCTGTCCGCCGGCCTTGTTCATCCCTCACTTCCCCAAGGCGTAACCACCAATTCCCGACCTCACAGAGGGATGCGGCACCTTCGTTAATGATTCCCCAGGTGCTCAGAGAAGCGCCAGGCCCGCGGGGCGCTGCGCGGTTGGGCTGGGCCTGCCCGGGGCAGGGGGTTACCCCTCCGCTGAGGCGAAGCGGCCGAGGCAGCCGGCGGGCCGCGCCCGGGGCCCGCTCGGCGGGGCGGCCGCCCGCCCGCCGCGTCCTGAGGCGACACGCGGCGGCGCCCCCTCCCCTCAGCCGCCCCGAGGTGACACCGCGGCCTCGGCTCCCGCCGCCGCGCACCTGCCGGGGCCCGCCCCACACCGCCGCCGGCGAGCGGAGCGCAAGGCTCCCCCCCCCGCCCCGCCGTGGCGGAGGCAGCCGAGAGGGCAAGGCTCGGCCCCCGCCCACCCCACGCTGCCTCCCCGTCGCAGCGCGGAGCCGGCGGCCGCCCGCCCCCGCCGCCGCACGTGTGCCGGGGAAGGCGTTCGGTGCCGCTCGCCGCTTCCCCCCACCCCCCCCCCCTCCGCGCTCCCCGACTCCTCCGCAGCGGGAGCGGAGAGCAGCCGCCGCCCGACACGCCCGGCAGCGCCGGGGCCGCTCGTCGACGTGCCTCCCGCTCGGGCGGCCGCCCGGCCAGGACGTCGCCGCCGCTGATGGCCGCCCCGCCGCCCGGTGTGCCGAGCGGCGCAGGGCGGGCGGCGGAGCCCGCGGGCGGCGGCCCCCGCGGCGCCGCCGGGTCCCCCTGCCCGCTTCCCCGGCCCCCCGGGGGGGACCCGCCGCCCTCGCCCCCCGACAGGTAAGGCCGGAGCCCGGGCGGGCGCCGCCCGCCCTGCCCGCTCCCTCGAGGGCCCGCCCGCTGCCGTCTAGGGGCGGGCAGGCGTCCTGCGGGCGGGAGCGCGGGGCCGGAGGGCGCGAGTGCCCCGAGGCGGGGGAGCGGCGGTTTGGGGAGGGGGCGAAGCGCCGCAGGGGGCGGCCCGGCCCGGCCCGGCCCGGCCCGCTCCTCCCTGGAACTCAAAAGTTGTTTCCCGGCCCTGCAGGCACTTCCCTGCGCTGCGGGTGCGTCTGTCTTTCTCCCTCCCCGCCTCCCCCGCCCCCCCCCCCCCCCTTTTTTTTTTTTTTTGCAAGAGATTTCCCAGTTTGAGGTGAAAAGAGGCGATGTTGCCGAACCTGCCTTGTCAAACTGAACCGAGCCACTACTTTCTCATTGCAGTAGCTTTCTTATACGCTCGGGAGATAAACCTCTTCACCGTTAGCGGTGCCACTGTAATTGCTGTCAGGGATGTGCACCCTGTTTCTTACATCTCAGGCAGCTCTTTAAGGCATTGGTCTCTATTCTTAGTAAAGGAAACTGCGAGCTAGGTTTTTCATGAAGCATCTGATCAGTTTTGGTAGACTGAAGTTTACAAAATCTTAAAATGCTGCATACAGGATTTTTCACTCCTTCTTAATGCTAAATATCACTTTAAATGAATATTCAGTGAGGATTTCCAGAAAGTAAAGCATCTTCATTCTGCACCGTTACCTTACTTTGATGTTTTTCCCCACTTTGTACCAACTGGTATATGAAATCTGGAATGATAATAATGAAGGAAACAAAGTTAAATCTTAAGCTTGGAGCCATCAACTCATGCCTGTAGAAAAAACTGACTATATGCTGGCAGACCCAAATACTTGAGGTGCTTCGGGTGCTGCTCTCCAAATGCAATCAAGTAGATAAAGTGCTGCTCAATATTTTATGTGAGAAAACCATGCACTGTAATGTACACAGTAGTTTAAACAACCACATTATTAATGTGATACTTTAAACCGGTGCATAACAGAGCTCTTCAGCAAGTACAGTAGTTATTATTTTCACTACTCTTGCAAATGCTGCTTGGTGATACTTCTGACACAATCAAATTTAAGTAGCTAGCAACTACTGAGATATTTATTTTATAGTGGAGCTATGAAGATTCAAATACAAAAGTGATTGAAAACCGAAATGAGTGTATTGCTTTGCACTGTTTTATCTTGTCAGTTACTTTGACTACCGATTCTGGTGAAAAAAACATTTTCACTTGTTTAAAATACAGTTGTGATGTACTCAGGAAATACTACTGAGAAGTTACATGCATCCACTGTTGTAATATGTGTACATAGGGAATGTCATGAACACAGGGACAACAAAATATTTACTTATGTCCTTAGGAGCCAATATAAATATATCTGTGCTCTTACTCTGCAGACTTACACATATTCAAACAACTTTATATTCAGAGCTGAATACTTGGATTGCTTTCAAGTAGTGTTAAGCACTGTATGTTAATAGATTCAGCCTACTGATTAAAAAAAATAACAGCACAAAAAAGCTAATAGCTGCAACCAGGAAGTATCATGGTGTTAGTGCCTTAGGATTTCATGCACTGTAGTTGGATATTGCAATTTTAACAGCAGTTGTTACAATTATCACTTGCTACCATGTATTTTGTTGAAATAGGAGAAAAAAGAAAGATGACGATATTTTGGAGATCCCATCAATTCCAAATCCTTTTCCTGAGCTGTGTTGCTCTCCGTTTGCATCAGTTTTGTCAGCCAGTCTGTTGCCCAAGGCAACTTCAAGAAGAAAGCAGGTAAGATTTATAAATTATTATTTGACAAATTCTAAATTGGTTTCATGAAAGCTTGAGGAAAAGCTCAGTTACTTATTAAGTTATTTTTCTAATAAAGGTGTTCCATATTTCTGTAATTTGGTGAAATTTTCTCTGTAGGTCACTGATGATTGTAGTAAATGAGGTTTCAGAATCTGTGACTTAAGACGTGACTGTTCTTTCACAGAGTCTACATGTGACTGTGCAATTTTTTCGGGTAAAGCAGAACCATGGGCAGGCAGGCAGTGCTTTATGTCCTTAAACAAGAAATTAATTTCTTCCTCCCCACCTTCCAATTACTGTCATCAGTGCTATAGTGTGGAGTGTTTTAACAGTCATAGATCACCTTCTTTTGTCTGAAGGTCTAATTTTGCTAGGATAATTGAATAAAACTGAAATTGATGGGGAAGGAGCAAATGCAGTGTATATGGCTATATTTTATATGCATGTGTATTTATCTGTGTATGGCTGATGTTATTGTATTTCCATAAATACCTTAAGCTGTAAGCCAAGGGAAGTTCTGAGTGAGCAGACAGACCTGGCAGTGCTCTGTCTTAGTACTGTTTACAGGCAGTGTATTTGTTATCATGAGCAGGGGTTATGGAGGAAGAGTTTCCAATTAATGGAGATTACTGGTACTGAAGATCTGTTTCACTCTTTGAAAGCTTACCTGTCTCATTTCGCTTCTTTATTTGAGACTGGAAAGAGGTCTGACAAGAAACACCTGTGGGATTAAGGGTACTACCTCCTTCCCGTTCTCTTTTTTGGTGATCTGCAAGATCCCAGTTTTAAGAGTTTTAGGGGTGACATGGAGGCATAGGAACTTACACTGCTGCTGCGTATTCAGTTTCTGGGTTTGCAGGAAGAAATTGTCTGGTAGTTGAAGTTTCTTGTAGTTGTGTTAGCTTTCCTGAAGCTGACTGGCCATGGCTGTTTCTGTGCACCTGCCAGAGAGCTTTACTAGCAAAGCCTTGGCTAGCACCTTAAGGAGGAAACTTCTACCCCTTCTCCACTGAGAAACCTGTATGTGTCTGGGAAATTGCACTGATTCTATCTTGTCGTATTTTGCACTTTCTCTAAAAAAAGCTATGGTGTCTTTTTTGACTACTTTTATTGCTTTTAGTTCTTTCCTACAACAGCAATGCTAATCATCTGAAGCATTTCTGGTCAGTCTGTATCTAAATGTTGCCAATGAAGTGGGGTAAAATTGTGCTACTTTGGTGTTTGGGCAAGGTGGAAGCATTGTCTATCTCTGCAGAGGCAGGAAAAATACTGAGTTAGTAATGTTATCTTTCAGAACATAAGGACTAGTCATATTTAAAAAAAAAAAATAGTTTAAATTACTCATGTTGCTGGCTTAAATTGCACTCATTGTGGTAATCTGTGCTTGCAACTGGAAAGTAGGTTTCCCAGGCATGATTTAACACACAGAGGTCAACTATCTGTTTTTGTGATCTGTCATGTTTGAAATTACTGACTGGCTTGATCAGTTAAGCCAGCTAAGTGTTAGTTTCAGTCTTTCACTTCTGTTTCTTCATGGAGGCTCTTGTCATACTTTTTGTGACAAATTCTGCTCCCAGTCCTTCTGTTTCTCCCAGTTTTCCATTTAAGAATGTAGTGCTCTCTCTGGTAAAAGCAGGGTCAAGAACAACTGGTTTACTGACAGAAGTAAGCTAAAATAATAATAGTGTCTATGGAGGGTGTGATCCATTTTCTAGTTACGATAAAAATTGAGAGGAGTCTTCTTGTTATTTTCTGGAGGCATTTTAAGACCGTGGTTCCTGTCAAAAGGCCTTTCACCTAGGTATGTTGATGGCCACTGCAGGAGAAATGGTACTGGGCTAAGGAGACCTTTTGTCAGACTCAGCATTACTGTTGTTAAGTTCTTAATCTAAAGTTATTAAAGGTTAAGGCCAGATGTCAACTGTTGAGTTAAACTTTTATCTTTGAAATTCAGGTTGAAGTCTTCTAATATGTTTCTAAAATTACTTAAGTTTAAAAAGGAGAGGGAGGGAATGCTAAGCAGGTGTGCAAAGAGAAGTGAACTGGTTGTGACTTTGACTTCCCCCACAGCTGGCTGTGGAGGCCATGCTTGGAAATGTCCTGTTTCAACCCTGTGTTCTTATTTTGGCAACTTTGTAGCAGCTTTGTCTGCAAATACCTAATCCTTGTACAAAGATTTCATTGACTATAGCCCCCAAGGGCATGAATATTACTATTGCAGTTTGATAGTTTCCTAACTCTTAAAGAGAAACCAGCTACACGTAACCTTTTTTTTTTTTTTTTTTTTTTGTATGGTGTTGACAGCTGCTAGAATTTTTCCTGTTGCCTCTCTGATGATCTACATATGCTTTCAGTGATTCTTCCTCTAGATCAGTTTTTTTTTCTGCTGTATTTTTAATTTCAAGCATAATAAAGAAAAACTGCAGAGTGAATTTTTACTTATGTCTAGTGGGTAACTATTACAAAAATAGGTGTTTCTAAAAGAAAAAAGAAAAAAAAAAAAAAAAAAAAAAAAAAGAAGTTATACCTCTTCTGTCTTGCTTTTCTCTCCAGAAAAGTTTTTCTACTTCCAGGGGAAAAAAAAAGAAGTTGTCACAAATATCTATTCATAGCACCTGTGACATCTGAAGTCTTTCCTCTTCTGAACAGATTATTAACATTATTTTGAATTCTTGTTTTTCTAAGCTGAAGTTCTTACTGTTTTCTGATGATCTTTTATCTTAAGCCTCTCAAAACATTGAACATGATGCTTGAACAGCATGTCTGTTTGTGGGGCTGAATTACTGGAAATAAGTTTATAAAAGCAAATTGGCAAAAGCCACATAGCAGAATAGTGAGTTGCCACTGTGCTTGGGAAGTAGGACATCTGTGTGTCTGAACGTTATTCAGTCTGCCTCATCAACACAGCTGTCCATCTCCTTTCCCCCACTGCAGTTAGGAAGAGCTTTTTCTTATATCCTCACAGACTCATATTTGTGACACGTTAAAGTAATTGGAATAAACTTTCTTTAAGAGGCAACCTTGACTATTTTTTTTCACCTTTAATTTAAAAAATGAAAGGAGGGGGAATGATGGGGATCAAAATAGGGAGTAAAGGTGTAGTCAGTATAGTGGCAAATTTTATTATCCTAGAGGAGGGACTAGGACCTGGGAGAATGGAAAGAACAGGCCTGCATTGAGCTGCTGAGAACATGCAGGCTTGTGCCTCAGATGACCCGTTCTCACTGAAGCATTTCATGGATGTGACCCTGTGGAACTGATGTTATAGTATCACACCCGTGTTTGGGAAGATGGAACTTTGAAGTGTTTCACAAGTGGGAGTGGGATTATGTATGTAACATCCTCATCCTCAAAGGAATAATGTGGAGATGAAATCAACAGCTGAGTGTACGGATAGCAAGACCATTTTGTGGATTGTGTAATTCATTCTGTAAAAAATCACCAGGTGTGGTATCCTGGGAAGAAATATCAGAGGGAGTTATGTGCTTTTGGCATGAATAATATTATATATGTTCAGATAAACTGAATGTTATGCTTCAGCATGGAAGACTTTTATCTGAAAAGGCCAAAAAACCGAGCTTTTCCTTTACATACGTCCTCAACTAGGTGCATGGTAGGAAATGTTGCCTTTCTGCGAGGAATTGATCATTTGCTGTTATTAGGTGAAGTTGTGAACTTGTGTAGAAAATCTAATTGTGTCTCAGTCTGTGTTCTCTAAGAAGTTATAAGGAATGGAAAATATAAAACACTTTGTACTTTTGTCTCTAATTATAATCAAAACGGATATTAATAGGGAAAAATGTGAACTGTAAGAAAACATGTTCTGTTCTTCAGTATACTTTTGATTTTCTTTGGTCAAATGAACTAAAAAGAGGTTACTATAGTTTTATGAAAGCTTAGCTTTTAAGTCTTTTGGAAAACAAAACCTGAATCATTTGCACTGGAGTGACACTTCTTGCCCTGCTCAAGGATAAGCCCAAAAGTGTTTCATCACAAAAGTAGTTCAAGGTAATTAGTGCCTTGTTTCTTTAAATTAAAAGTGCAAAAATAAAGCTCAAGTAAATCTCAAGGTGAAGAACACTCAAATCTTTGGAATTTTATCTTGCCTCTTTTGTCTTTCTTGATGTTCTAAACAAGTAGATACTTTTATCATTTAGAATCCAAATATATTCTCATGATGTTCTTTCCAGGAAATCACTTGTATAAAGAAACCTCAAATCCACATTTGATTGCAGTGGAACATCACTTCTCTTTTTGCATTAACAAAGATTTTCATGTAAAGCACTTCGGCAAAGAACTGAGATGAACTTCGTGACAAAGAGCAGATGTTTCTTTAAATGTGTGCTATTCTAAGTTTATGAATAATATTGAACATTGACTGTTGCAATTGGAGTACCATTTATTTTTTTTTTTCACAGATATAGTTCAGGGTCTCCTAGTGTACCCACTTGGAACCTCATTCTTCATTCTTTTGTGTATAATTCTATTAGCAGACATGAATGGCTAAGTATCTGGTACTTAGACTTTTTCATGACAGATTTTTTTTCTGAAATATCTGTTTTCTCCTGACCTGTAAACAATGCAAAAATGAAAAGATTTTTTTTTTTTTTAATGTAATAATTAATTAATTTTCAAGCAATTTTCATGGGTTGAAATATCTTTTCCCACCAAAAGATGCATTATTTAAATTTACTCTGTAATTCTAGTCTGTCTGTTTCTTGACAGTTTTCTTTCCAGGTTGGAGAGCGTTGCACATATCCTTTATCAGTTCACATTTTTTTTTTTTTTTCTTCCAGCTCCTAAACATATATCTGTTTTTCCAAGGTCTTCCCCTTAAATTACATAAAAAAGAATTAGAGTTTGAAAGTCAGCAGGGAAGGGAAAAAGTCTTTCCAACCAGTTTACAGATTAACAGAAAAAGTATCCTATACAGAACCAATTTAAAGAGCTCAAGTCCAAGCTCAGTTGGACTCCTTTAT